ATGCAGGTGTATGCCACACGCTAGTGTGCCCCAACCTCTTTTACGATGTAACAGAGAGCTTCGTGATTAACATTTTTGCCTCGTTTAAAGAAGGATCTAACCACTACAGTCAACGCTTGTTGAACTTAAGTGTAAATGAACAGAAGTCTGATGGACCCTCTGTAGTTTCAGATGTTATCCTTCTCCAAGGATAGGAGAGGTTTGGGGCTCACCCGAGATATTTGTGTCAAACAACAAACAGCACAGCATCCCCGCGAAACCCTGGTCCTCGCTCAGTCCCACCCGGCAGTCACCGCCTGTCCCCCTTCTTCATCAGCGATCCACCCGAGACCCGCGGGCAGCAGGCAGGAGGGCTACCTGCGCCACTCCACTGCCTGCAGCCCGGCCGTGGCCCAGCTTGCCTTTAAAGCAACTCCCAGCCCGAATCCAAAGGACACCTAGGTATTTGTCAGCACTCCCCGGTGCTCTGGACTTCAAAATGGCAGGCATGGACCACCGCGGCTCTGTACGGTTACACTCTCAACCAGTCCATGGGGCACAATCTCACAAAAAAAACCAAAAATAAAGATAAAAATAATATCAAGAACCTGCCTCTCCCCAGACCTGGCTTAGGAGGGGAAGGCTGGGAAGGCTGCACGCCATTTTACCTTTGCAGATCTTGATGAACAGTGGCAGAGGAGGAAGGGGCACAGAAGCAAGCCCGGCTTAAAGGGCATGCAGGTGTATGGCACACGCTAGTGTGCACCAACCTCTTTTACGATGTAACAGAGAGCTTCGTGATTAACATTTTTGCCTCGTTTAAAGAAGGATCTAACCACTACAGTCAACGCTTGTTGAACTTAAGTGTAAATGAATGCAAGTCTGACGGACCCTCTGTAGTTTCAGATGTTATCCTTCTCCAAGCTATCTTGAACGCTGTCTATTTTTGATAGCCTAATCTCACACCACCAGATTTCTGTGCCCAGGCTCCCCCCCCACCATGATGCTCAGCCAGGCAGCGAGCCCAGGTAGCCCTCCCCTCCCAGGGGAAGGCCACCCTGGTCTTGGCAGAGCCAGGGTTTTACCCAGGGAGCTGGAGGACTCGGGGACTGTCACAGCACTACCTTCTCACCTGGAGCCCTGTTTCCACCAGGGCCCACACCTGCACATTTTTAGTCACAAATAAACCCTGAAGTGGAATATGGTGCCCCACCAACGCACCACACGCGGCCTTGTTTTAGGTGCAATTACCCCCGACACCGGCAGAGGGGCCCGAGCCCCCTGGAAGCAAAGCTGAGGGGTGGCACAAGGACCCCCACCCAGGAGGCTGCTGGAGAAATCCACCGCCATCCCAGTGAGCTCCACGCCGGCCACCAGCCTCCGAAACAGCCCGCACCTGCCTTCATTAGGAACTTCATTAGGAAAGGGAGAGAGTTCTACAAATGCCTCAGTGAGCATATTTTGGATGTAAACGGCACGACTTTCATCTTAGGCCTCTTAATTCGTTATTCCCCACACACACCTCCAGTGTCTCCAAAGGTGAGGACATGGTGATGCCCCTGCCACAATTTGCCATTAGAGGGCAACGAAGAACTTTGTAAGATGTCCCCAACCTCTTCCCTCAACATCCGTGCCCCTCTGTAGCACCTCATGGCACGCGGCTGGATAAAGAGGCCCAGAGTACCACCAAACGTAGCTCTCCGGGAAGTCGAGAAGCCAAAAGGGTGGCTCACCATGCCAGGAAATGGTATCCCCTCTTCCCTGCCTGGATCCTTCCCAATGCTCACCCCCCAGATGACCACTGTTTTGGCCCTCTCCAGGACGGGCAACAGGTTTACTGGCTTTGCTCTTCTCCTCCTCCTTTTTCGCAAACCAGAGAGGTAGGGAACAAGGTTTCAGGACACCAGCAGCAACGCTTAGGTGACTTCCAAGGTTCATAGACAAAGGAACAGAAAATACCACACAGGACAAGTCCCCCACAGCCAGCCCAGCAACCCTTACAACCATTCACTACAACATGCACAATCCTACTCACGGCAGATTTATTATTATTATTGTTGTTATTATTACTACTACTACGAGACTGGGAGCTCCTCACTTTTGTTAATCTCACTTCTGCAGAAGTGAGAGTTCCTTTTGGGGGCCGAACTCTCTCCCCTAGTATTCTCAACATATTTCACAGACAAATGGCCAGGGTCTGCTTTACAGACTATTTAGAAAACACCGTTTAAGAGCAACCTCTGGACCCTTTTTCCTTTGAGATATAAGCTGAAAGCCAGCACAGCAGGGTAAGAGTTAATTTCCTCACACTGTTACATTAATTTACATCCTCAGTCCTTCACCAAGCAAAAACAGGCGAAAATGGTGTAATGAGTGATACTAATAGAAAATAGCAGTCAAAATATGCATCCACACTAAAAACATACATTCTGTACAAAATCTATTCCTGGAAGTACTTTTAGCCACACACCATTATTATGTGGACAGATATAAATATTTCACACCCCATATGCTGTATTATGGTGCTTTTACAGACACCTGCTTCACGCCACTCTAATTTACAGCGGCTGGCAGTCACCCACCAGGGATGCCAGGGCAGCCAGGGAGCTGCGACAGATCGCAGATACGCAGTCCCTCATTGCCCAAGCACGTCCCCTCGGACGGCCAAACCCTGGAAGGGTGGCACACTGTCACCTCCCGTCCCTTCGGGATCCTCGCAGTGCTGGGCTCCGCAGTGCTGGTTACAACAGTCCTGCGCTGCTTCTCTGCCTACCCTCTCCAAGCAATGGGAAGCAGACTCATCCCAACCCGGGGGTGGACTCAGTGTTGTGCAAGGAGCTATTAAGATACGCGATTACTCCAGACTGCAGATTTCCTTCACTGCTCATCCCTCCTATCTTGCTGCAGAGTTCAGGAGTGAATCAGCAGCAGCTGCACGTTGCAAAGGGTGGATCCGCTCTGAGGTGGGAGTTTGCACATCGAGGCTGTGATCTAACTGCTTCTGCCTGCCCTGCTGCCAACTCGGTGCAAACAGAGCGCACAGACTCCAGCGCAAAGCTCACACTTCCATGTGCATGCTCCGAGTGTGTATGCTCCAAGCAAACATCCATGAAAAATATCACTTACAGTAGATTAAGCAATTTGTTCAGTGTCTCACTAAACTGAAACTTTAAATAGCTCAATGCTTTAGGTTTTCTGCACAGAAAACTCATGGAAAAAAGCAAGTAATTCTTTATTCAGCTTTACTTTAAGGTAGTTGGATTTTATCAGAGGCTCTGCCACTGTAATAGCTAAATAGGAAATGTCCCAGAAATCTACTTACTAAAATGTTCCTGACCTCATAGCATGACTGTACCTTCTGCCAAACTCTCATCCTGGTACTGCTGTGGTTACACTTCAAGGAAACATCCTACTTTCTCAGTCCTGGATTAATTATTTTCATTAGCGATTACGTTTGAAGTTTATGGCAAAACCTGATTTTGCTGTTGGCTCACAAATGCACATCCTACCTTTTGCATGCTTCACTTTCTCTAAATAATGCCGTTTCTGTTCATTTGTCACAGCAGAGCCAACCTGTTAATTGTTCTATATTGCTGCCAAGTCTGCACGCCACAACAGAGCTCATACACAAAAGATGCTTCAGCATATGGTGCTACTTAATCCGAGGTTGTTGTTGAGGCGAAGAGGAGTTCAAGCTGCATCACCATTCGCCTCTCCCTGAAGGCGACAGCTACTGCCAGCTGCAACAACGGCTTGTGATGTGGAAAGCCAAATACTCACTGGATCAAGACCATTTGTTCATGTTACACAGGTCAAGACAGACCAAACTTAAAGCACTCGCCGAGAGGTGACTGAAGGTCAGTCTCTTCGAGTCTGTGCCGGGCAAAATAAGCAGCATTCACTGCCCAGAGGAAACAGGCACAGGGGTGATGGTAACATCAGAGGGGAAAGAAATATCGCTCTGTGGCAAAAAAGGGAATTATTGTTACAAGACTTCTATGAGTTGTTACCAATAAAGGTGCATAAGGCCAAAGAAAGGAGTGTTTGAATCCATTCAAATACGTGTCCCTCTGCAAGGTCCCTTTCTAAGCCCGGGGACATTGCTGATGAAACTCAGTTTGTGCTCTCAACGGGATGTCTGCCAAAAGCCCTCCCAGCCACCCTTACCTGGTCACAGATGAGCTCCCACTTCTTCTCGTTGTCGTACTGCCGCAGCAGCCGGGCTTTGTCAGGCGGCAAGTTCATCGCATTCTGCGGAGAAAGAGAAAGCAAACGTGAAGGACCACAGAGGGCTTGGGCTCAGGCAGAGTCAGACATGAGCAAACCAAGGCAACGTGGCTGCAGTTGCTTTAATTGTTTTATATGAATTCCCATTGACAGGGTTAGTCAGAAACATTCCCTCTAAATGTCATCTTTGGCCCCAAAAGCACCAGTGAATCGCAAGGTACTGAAGGGCAGGGCTCGGTGGGACCACAGAGGGCTCGGGCTCAGGCAGAGTCAGACATGAGCAAACCAAGGCAACGTGGCTGCGGTTGCTTTAATTGTTTTATGTGAATTCCCATTGACAGGGTTAGTCAGAAACATTCCCTCTAATTTCATCTTTTGGCCCCAAAGCACCAGTGAATCGCAAGGTACTGAAGGGCAGGGCTCGGTGCTGGGCCATGCTGGGACGCAGGAGGAGGTGAGCGACTAGAGCTCAGGACCAGCCACCTCCGTCCGGAGGAGAGGACAGGGCTTCCCCGTGCTGCCACGGCACGGCAGCCACCTTCCACCCCAGACGGGTCCCCGTGGTGCACCACACCCCCTCTTCCCTTCGCCTGCCCGCACTCATAAGGGAAACGCACACTCCAGCTGCGGGCTGGGGACTGCAGAGGGCCAGTTCTCTCCAAACAAGGTCCTGAAATGCCATTTCATTTTATTTCAACAGCGGGACACTATTCAGGTTTTTAAATGTCGCCGCATGCAACCTTATCTGGATAATACAGATCCCGGAGGTAGGATTGCTGCTGCCCAGTGACGTTGTGCTACTCGCACACGCAAAGATAACGATCCCAAGACTGTGAATGACAACCTGCAGTACCGAGTCAGAAGGCAGGGAGAGGCGGCAATTAGATGATGCCTATCATTTGCTGGCTCCTTTGATGTCAGTTGAGATATCCTTCCACGGGCGGTTGTCTGGGGTAGGGCGGCACAGGCTGGCTACTCGCTCCCAAGGCAGTTTCCCTAAGAGTCGTGTCTCCAAACGCGCAGCATAACTGTCGTGCTTAACCTCCCAAAGAACCCAGGAACGCCTCGAGAGCTTCGCAAACACTGAGTCTGGAGAGCCTCCCTATCAGCCCAGCGGCGCGCAGCAAAGTGAAGTGGCTGAATGAAAAACCCGCTAAGCACCTCTTGGTCTCCAGCACCTCTCGGTCTCCAGCTCGCATTCCCAGAGCGGCCAAGTTATCCCAAATTAACCCTTCAGGACCACAAGACTCTGGGTGGCCCATCCCAGACCCCTGCTGGGATGGGAGTGAAGCGCCGGCTGGGCCCTGCGGCACTGCATACCGCAGGCAGGTCAGGCCGGTGGTGCGCACATCTCCAGCGCCGGCAGGCTCTACCCTTCCACGTTTAATTTTAAAAAGGCTGCAGGAGGCACAAAAATAGGCCAGAACCAAAGGCTGTTAAAATAAGCCTGCAGTGAAGCAGTAATCAATAAATTGGTGTTTAGGTACCGAAACACTCCGCTCTAGAAGCACGCACCTTCACAACCTGTGCAACAGGCAGTTTTACAGATTTATTAAAAGCAGGCTGTCCTGGGGATCCTCAGAAACACTCCCGGACCCATACTCTGCTACAGCTACAGCCAGACCTGCACAGCCTGGGGCCCAGACCTCCTCCATTTCCTCGCACAAACCCCCTCCCAGGTAACAGAAGAGGAGGGGGACACAGCTGCCACAAACACCATCAAGAGCATCTGTTACGATCAGCCCAGCCTGCTGACCCCCCCCAATCTGCTTACCCTGAATGGCAGGGCACACTATAAAACCAAAATTTAAGTGAGCCCTAGAAAAGGCTGACTGAGACCCAGGGTGATAATACAACCACAGCAGCCACACAGGACGTACTGTGTATGAGATGGAGTGATAATTAAAGAATTTCAAGGCGTACGTTGAGTTGTCACGCATCAGGAATTGGTATTTTTAAAGTACATCATCAGAAACCCACTCAGCTCCAGGTACGGAAGAGACCCGCAGGCAGCGGCACAGGGACACCTGCTCTGACGATACCAGGTCCTAGCCCCGGACGGGGACCGCAGGTGACAAGGGCAATCCGTGTGCCACGGCGCGTACAGTGCTGACCACGCTGACGGGCACCGCAGCAACGGGCGAGCTTTGGGGGATGAGGGGCTTTGAAGGAGAGCCAAGAGGTTAACTGGCAGCGGCTGGCAATCAATGGCAAAGCTTTCCAGCACCGTTTCTGGCTGGCTGAGTGCTGTGTCCCCATCGCAAAGACAAGGCTTTCCTTGCTCGTATTCCAGCACTCGGGTACAACGCAGGACTACCTTCCCCTACACCTCCCCAGGGCTTTCACGCCTTGGTTGCCTTGCTAACTCACATGCCAGGCTCACTGTCAGCCTGCTCCCAGCCCAGCTCAGCTCAGCCCAGCTCAGCGGGGAGGCAGGCGCAGGGCCGGGCTGCTCCTGACCCAGCTCCCTCATGGCCACAGTTTCAGATTTCCGTCTCCCTGGGTTTACTCGTGCAGCCCGGGCTGGAAACCAGGAGGGCTCGGGCGTGATCCAGGAGCAGATGTGGCATTCC